AATTATCTATGCAGAATCGTCGATATTTACTCGGTTTTCCTGAACAAAACTGAAAACAAAAAGACGTCCCAGGATAATTGGGTTGGGTGCAGAAATTATTATACCTTATGATATATTATAACTTATAACCCTTAAGTAATCTATACCTGTAAGCAACAATATACCATTGCTAACAAAATAAAACGATTCTAAGCGAAATTCAGTTGACACTGATGCTTTGTCAACAATATATCCGTCATATTATGGTAAAATAATGAAACAGACAATATATTAAATTTATTTTAACTTCATATTTTGTTTAGCATTATATCTATTTTCCACGAATTTTTACATTAACCTGGAATTGAATCGAAAAATGACATTTTTAAAGAACGTTTCTATCCATATTTTTTAATTAGAAAATTTGCTATTATTATAATTTGAAGCGAAATTGCTTGTAGATAAGTTGTTCACATGAAAACAGTAACCTTTTTTTTTTTATTTAATAACTACGGACATTTCTTTTTCTCGGTTTTTCACCCAGATGCGTTTTTTTTTTTTTGTAACCCATGTTTAGCGTTGCTTTCAGGTATACATTCAATCACCTAAAAACAGCGGCTGCATTTTTTAAAAATGAAATAAGTAATGCACTTACAGTTGTGTAAGTATCTACATTGATTTTGTCATCATATGATTTTAAAGAGTATACTCCAATTTGTATAACTAGGTATATTTTACTACTCTTTACTTGGGAAATTACTGATTTAACGTATTCCTCCTGAAATAATAGAATGTAGACATTTACTTTTAAATATAATATGTTCTAAATAATAGGAGATGCAATTGATATTATTTAAAAATTAATATTATTATTATTTTTGTTGTAAACCTAATGATCACATAAAAATTCTAACCTATGGAAGTATTGTTATAGATGAGCAATTCTTAAATAATAAAAAATACTAATTAAAATTACATAAAAATATAAATTCATGTTGCGAATAAGTTTAATAGAATATTTACAACTTGATCTGCCGGATCTTGGGAGGGCATTTCCGACTGTCCGTCATGGTAATAACAACTTACTACGTCACATGCCGGATAAACAAAAAATGGAACTACCGGTTCTAAATACGGTAAATTAAAACCTGAAAATAAATAAGTATTATATATTATGCTATTATAATGTTTTCATTTAACGATACATTTTAATATTTTTTATATTTTCAGTAGACCATGTAATCGTAACTTTAAACAAAAAATATTTCAATTCTTAATACAGAAATGCATATTTATGATCTAATTATACTTGCAATAAAATAATTGAAGGATTTAAATTATAATGACTAGTTCTAAATAGGTACCACTG